ACAAAACAAATATAAATGGCTCTTGGCAATCAATTGTAATATGACAGAATTTAAAACGTTGAAAAATATATAATGCTATGCATCTTTGGTGACAGTAAAGTCGTAGTTAGGATAGGTATTTTTAGAAATATCATATGAAGTAGAAATATTTGACAAACGTCTTGTCAGTCCAAAAATCAGAAATAACAATATGCTTACAAGTGTTTGGCCAAAGGAAATTCATTAATAATATAGACTAGTTTATGCCCGCGACTCCGTCCGCGCGCAAATTAAAACTTATTAAATAGCTTATGTGTTCTTCCAGACTATGTTCTACATCTGTTTGCTGTTCTGGAGGGACCTTCTAACAAACCATCCATCCATTTTGCATTTATAATATTAGTAAGATGTACCGCTGTGGAGAGATTTCAGTTCTATATAACAATAATAATAAGTATAGTGCTATGGATATATTTAGAACTACAGGTATTAACACCGTTGTTAAATTTTACGGTGAAATTTCACTGACGTTCCGCGACAATTGGTATAAGAAAATGAGAGGGTCGGCAATATTTTAACAGTGGAAATGCTCATTTATAAATTGTCCTATATACAAAACAGTACGTTGACAATGTCTGTTTAATTGATAATAGAGGTTAGCGAGCTCAAAGTCCGATCAGACTTGAACAAACGCCAGCTGGGACTGGGACGATATATTTTGAGAGTTAAACAAATTCTTAAATACTGTAAAACGTTTATTTTACGAATATAAAGGTACGTACGTTACTTCCCTAGTGACTGGCAATAAGAATAATTTAATAATAAAAAAAATAAGAAGGTCGCTTAACTTAAAAATCATCGAAGAAAAATTAAAGATTAAAAAGATAAAAAAAAGAAAAACATCTTACTAATATCATAAATGCGAATGTTTAGATGGATGAATGGATGTTTGTTTGAAGGTATATAGAAAACGGTTATTCGGATCTCGCTGAAATTTTATATAGATATAGAACATGGTCTGGAGGAACACATAGGCTACTTAGTAAGTTTTTTTTAAATTCCGCGCGGGCGGAGTCGCGGCCGATAGCTAGTAATCCATAAATATTTGAACAAAAGCGTGGTCAATGTCTTGTTTTGATTTTTAAATTCCGTAGTAATAAAAATTGTTTATTATTGAGACGATAAAGCGAAGTATTTAAGAAAAACTTTCCCTCGACTTTCATTGAGAGCTCCTCTTATTCCGAATAATTTTAGAAACATTGTCAGTGATACAAAAATAAACGTCGCTTCACAGTAAATATTCTGAATAGTTTGTACGAAACGTGGAAAATTCTTCATTAGATATGAATCAGACTCGTAATCGAGAAAAATGTGCAAGGACTTCGTGTAATGGCCGTTGACTAACTCTTGTCATTTTTCAATATTAGCATCTTACTCAATATGATAGGATGATAATTTTATAAATATAACTAGTTTTATGTAATTTAAAATAAATTTACAAAATATAACTGCCTTACAGTTTAAATCTTACTAATATTATAAATGCGAATGTTCAAATCGATGGATATATGGATGAATGTTGGTTATTATGTTTTGTTTTGTTTGATTTTTGGATGTTTGAACGTATCTCTAAAACGGCTGCGTGAATCTTTCTGAAATTTGGCATAGATGAAACAGTGTGGAAGAACGCAAATGCTACTACTAAAGTTTTATTTTAAATCTGCACGGACGGAGTCGCGGGCTACAACTAGTACTTTTATAATAAATTATAGCATGTAAAGTTTACACACAAATAATAATGTGTAAAAAATTTGATATTTTTTATTAAGTTGAAATAAAAAATATGCGTATTTTACTTTTTTGTAGGTACTTACTGAAGGTCAAAGTCATAAACGAAAAACGCCGATTTTACATGGGAAAGAAGTTTATAGTATAAGGGTAACAAATAAGCAAGTGGACTAAATTCGCGAAACATCAATCGTGACACATAGATTTTTATATATGTAGATGTACAAAAATAAAGCCACATACTGAAGACACGTTTTTTACGGTCATATCATTTTTAGGTCACAGAAAATGGTTTTCTTTTGCTTCGAAATATTCGAATTGTTTGACATGGAATATATGAACTGAGATTTTTTACATATCTAAGAAAGTTGAAAACAATGTTCATACTATAATGATTTCTATATCTTTATATATATAATTCTCCTGTGAGTGTGTATGTCACTGAACTTCTCTCAAACGACTGGACCGATTTTGATGAAATTTTTTGTGTCTGTTCAAGGGGATCTGGGAATGGTTTAGATTCACAATTTTCATCAAATACTAAAGACGTATAGACAGGACAACGTCTGTCGGGTCCGCTAGTCTATATGTATAAAAATCAATTGCTGTTCGTTAGTCTCGCTAAAACTCAAGAACAGCTGAACGGATTCATCTTATCTTGATCTTAAATGTTCGTGGAGGTCTTGGAAAGGTTTAAAAGGTGAGAAAAACTCGAATAATTGCCAGGAACTAATTAAGTTTTTTTTCATTCCACGCAGGCGGAGTCGCGGGCGACAGATAATATATTTTTTAAAATTATTTGATTAAAATAATCAATGAAGTTAATTGTGTGTAGTGTGAAAGCTTTAATGTAGATTAATAATTATTTTAGGGTGCTATAGAGTGATTAAAAATTAAAAACGGTTATTTCTAAGAAAATGAAAATAAATTTAAGCAAATGAATGAAAAGGTTTTTTAGAGGTTTTGAAAGCCGTTAATTTGTATGGAAGAGCAATTATTTACAAAGATATTTCGGTATATTATGTTGGCAAAGCGGTAAATGTCAAAGATCACTGCAGTACAGGTTGCGTGGGATTGCTACGGCTTTATTAAGAATTTAAAAAAAAAAATCTTTATAACAGGAAGGGCAAACGAGTTGCGGGAACACCGAGGTGTTCATAATGCCCATGGACATCAGCAATACCAGAGGAACCTCAGATGCGTTGCCGGCCTTTGTGCTAGTGATACGCTCGCTTCTTGGAGGACCCTAAGTCGTAGCGATTTGGAAATACCGCCGAGGACAGACCATTCCACAACGCTGCTGTGCGATGCAGGAAGTTACGCGCAAACTGCACGGTTGTGGGTTGCCAGCCATCGAGATGGTGTGGATGGAAACTTCTTATTTTTGGTTTTAAAAATATATGAATTAATTAGAATACTTATTTAAGAACACATCTTACCTATAAATAGAAGGTTAGTGCTTATTATATCTAAAAACGGCTGATTGTAACGATATTGTTTTTAAACTGAAATAATTGTTACTTTTAATATATTGATGTACATCGATGATCAATTTATTACTAGTAGTGTGTTGAGCTTCTTTTTTCTTATTAACGTTTTATAATTTCATATAGAATTATTGTTTCATAATCTTATACATTCACTGTAAGAATGTTGGAAATCTAAAGACACATTGGTACATGTCGGGATTCGAACCCAGGACCCGCAGATTGCAAGTCAAGTGCTTGACTTCTGAGATACCGACGCTCTTGCGCTTAAGGAACACATAGTGAGCAATCTGCACATATTTGAGAATAAATTCAAAGATATGAGTGAAGTCAACCAACCCGCACTGGGCCAGCGTGGTTGACTATGGCCAAGTCACCCTTGATTTAGGGTAGGTTCGGAGCCCCTCGGCACGGACGTGTAGTGAGCTGATGAAGATGATGAATATTATGTATAAAATTACTCTACTCCTCCGAAATGTCTTGATCGATTTCTATGAAATTTTATATGCAAATTCAGAAGGTCTGAGTTGATCTATCTTTAATACCGCGTGGACGGTGTCGCGGGCGACAGCTAGTCATTTATAAAATAATACAAGGTTACAATAAATAAAAACTTGACCGAGATTAGGTGAATGACTTCGCACCACGTGTCAATGTGTACACAGTTGTTCTATTTTTAGTTTACAATACACTTGTGAAATTATTACACACTACCACAGTACACACTCGCTCTAGCTCTGATCCTTTGTTCGTACGACTTCTTTATATTTAATTAATAGCTTCATCGATCTAGAGGTAAAACTAAGCAATAACATTGTATGGATTCTTAGGATTTAACAGTTTTATTTCTATTGATTATAATAGTATACGTAATTGGGGCATACGATAGCGATAGCATGATAGCGACCAAAATCATTTCTCTGTATTTTTTTAATTGAAATTTTGTTTATTTATTGAAGAGTTTTATTAATAGCAATTATCAGACGTCAAATAACATGAAGTTTACCGCGTGTTCATTTAAAAAAAAACATTTTTCTTTACTGCAAATGCCTACATATAAAATCGAGGTCACTTATCATGAAAAATCAAAGCGTGCAAGCTGTCATAACAAGGCAATATAATCCATAAAATATTCGGCTTAGAGCACTTAGTTGAATGGTTATTGGATTTAACGCATTTCCACAGTTAGGAATGGGAACTAAAAGCGTGGATAATACTTCATTCATATACTTAACCCGCTTCTTTATAAAAATAAAATTCAGTGCACAAGCTATGTAAAGGTTCTGAAGCATAAGGCTAAGAAAGCCCACCGAAAACAGAGCCACGTCAAATTCCATACATGGCGGCCATTTTGATATTATTCAATTAATTATTTAGTGAAAAATGTGTGACAAAGTGAAGTGACATATTAAAATATAAGTAGCTAAGTTTTTTTGTAAGATATAACTTTTTTTTTATATATCATCAGGTGGCAAACGAGCGAGCGGACACCTGAAATCGCTGAAATAGCGAAGTGACCGTTGCCCATAGACGTACGCAATTACATATGCATTGCCAACCTTTAATCGACGGAGGAGAGGATGCACAAAAAGATAACATTTTCCCTTTCCATGCATCCTCTCATGCAAAGAGAAATAATTTGCTATTTACGAATTCTAGCGTAAATTGTAGTTTGTCTATAATTTAGAGTTTTGATAGTTATCCGGTATGGTTCTAATTGAAGAAAATAAATTGAAAATCCTATACCTGTATGTCGTTTTCGGTGGTATTTCTTGGTGGTTAGCCTCCGCTGGTTGCAAGTCATTGAAGCTCGAGAAACACCTGGATAAAGAAATATAAAATTATTATTTTTAAAGAAATAGGTCGTGTAAACGGTACTTTTCTAAATGGAGCGGAGATCGATTTGAATCATGTTTTATTTAAACCCCTAGCGGATATTCTGGAAACTAAATCACTCTGTTTCTTCGTAGGATTATATTATCTGGAATACACCTTTAATGATGTCATAAATAGAAATCTCTGAGTAATATCTTACTTCTTACTAATATTATAAATGCGAATGTTTGGATGTATGGATAGATGGATGTTTGTTTGAAGGTATCTACAGAACGGCTGAACGTATCTCGATGAAATTTGCCATCAATGTAGAAGACATTGGCCACTAATTAAGATTTTTTTATACTGCGCGGAAAGAGTCGTGTGCGACAGCTAGTTTATTCATAATAGTTGGCTAAGATAATTAACTGCGATTAATGTATTTTATTAGCAGAATATTAGCAGGAATTTAATACTAATAGTTTTTACTGTTTTTGATAACTCTACTAAAAACTAAGCTCTCAGTAAACTAAGATTTGAGTTTTTATGCAATTTGTATCACTTTTGTTCTTTATTTTGAGAAATAATTGAAACTAATTACATTCATCATTACTCTTTAGTTGTACATCGCGTTACATAAACTTTGTCTATGACTGCTGCAGACATTTAAACTAAAAGGAAAAGCATACAAACTTGAGCGCATAGCTTACACCCCCTAGCGTTTCATTTAAAATAGCCTCCCCGACTTCACAATTTTCTCTCAAGGCTACGACTTTTGTGAGTAACAAAGCGAAAAACTTTTTGATAGTACGGAAGAGCTCACTTTTAATTTAGACAGCGTCGCCCACGGCCTTGCAACAGACGTCGCGCTTTAACTTTTAGTTTATTGAAATAATATAAAAGAGAAAGACAATAAAACATAAATTAAAAATAAAAATCACGAAAATAACCTCCTTCTTTTTGAAGTAGGCTTATAAATACAAATATAAGGTTGTATTTTTTTGTCTATTTTACTAAAAAACCAAAACTTTCGCTTGGTCAGAATTTTAGCATCAGAATTTGATGTAGAGTATAACAAAGTATACAATGTAAACAGAGTGCTTTTGTAAATTCCTGTTGACTACTACTACTACTTTAATTTCCCTTAGTAGTATTCAATGTTGCCCGTGAGGAAATCCCTAGGCACCTTTCCTGCACTAATCAGGTATCATTATGACATTTTTAGGTTCTGTACCTAACAGGAAATAATTGGAACCCTTATAGGATCACTTTGTTATCCGTCCGTCTGTCTGTCAAGATCTTTTTTCTCAAAAACGTGCGAAAATATCAAGCTGGAATTTATTGTTTAGAATCACATTACATTTGTGACCATTCAGTCAGTATTCTTTAATATTATTTGAAAATACCTTATTATAATTTATTTTTATTTTAAGCAGGTACAAAAATATATGTAGGTGTTAAATTATAGCTCTTATACATTATAGATATTGTGTGGGTAACGAATTTAAGTCTTTGTACATAAAACACAACTTCACGGATCGCTTGAAGTGTTGTGTACAGTTTGTTTAAAGACTGTTATATACTAGAAGTGGAACATAAATAAATCATACTGATAAGAGTCGATACAGTTATCAATAACCCGTTACAAGTGACTGACTTGTTTATTGAGTGTGCAACCATCATCTCTCCGGCACTCGCTAACTAATCTTATAAATGCGAATGTTTAGATGAATGGATGTTTGTTTTGAAGGTATCTCCGGAACTGATGTATGGATTTCGCTGAAATTTGGCATAGATGTAGAGTATAACCTGAAAGAACATATAGGCTATTAATAAGTTTTTTTTTTAATTCCGCGCAGACGGAATCGCGGGTAACAACTAGTTAGATAGTATGTTACTTTGTTCTTGTTGCAGTTATAGTCAAACCATTCAGTTGAAAAATCAAGCGGTTTCTTTTTTAATTAGCTTGTAGTAAAATAATTATAGTGAGTCCGAAACTGTTTCAGTCACCCTCTGAATATGTCCTTTATTGCGACCTAATTAAAAAATATCCGTTTAAAGCTTTTGCAAATGGAGTTATTGGAATTTTCTTTTCAATTTATATGGATAAATAATTGTTTTCTGATAAATGATGTACGTAAATTGGTAGTCTTATAGAAGCTGATGTAATCTGACAATTAAAATAAATTGCACAGCTTTATTAATTTCAGTATACGTAAAAAATAAGGTTTTATACCCTCATTTCTCTGGTCATAAAAGGTTAAATATTTAAAAGGTTAAATAGTACGAATTTTAATATAATTTCTCTGACATAAGTTTGTACAAAATAGAACGGACATCGTAATTTTGTTGTAATTCAAATTATTTCTTAGCAGCGCCTATTTCAAGTCCAGCTACCCTAAGATAACCTTTGTGCCACTTCCATTCATTCGTGCGTCACTACACTATATGATAGTATACAAGTTTTATGGCTTTGCTTACTATTTATATGTTTTTACAGATATGTTTTAATTTCAGTTTTCCAATAGCATTAAGTTTTTTCTGCTATCAAAATCCTAGTTGTCGCCCGCGACTCCGTCCAGGCGGTTTTAAAAAACTTAATTAGTAGCGTATGTGTTTTTCCAGACTATGTTCTACACCTATGAAAAATTTCAGTGAGATCCATGCAGTCGTTCTTTAGATACCTTCAAAGAAACAGACATCCATCCGTCTAAACATTCGGATTTATAATATTAGTAAGGTTAGTAAGATACCGAAAGGCAGAACGATTTGGAGGGAAAATAAAAAATATTTTAGAGATGTTTTCGTTCATTTCTGTCACGAATTGTTTATTTATTTACGAGTCAAACCATGCCAAACAATGAGAACCTAAAGTTTATAGTATGAAATGATTACTCTTAATTTTTTCACGGAAAATACATCAAAGATTATAAAACACGTGTTTCTTGTATCGTATGTTTTTGTATGTCAGGTTCTTTACATTTCTTGAGAGTAATTTATTCAAGGCGTTTATATCTTCTCGTCTCCACAATTTCTGACTGATTTGTTCTGTTCGACAAACAGTTACAGATATTTATACTTTACTAGCTGTCACCCGCGACTCCGTCCGCGCGTGATTAAAAATAGATGTTGGCCGATTCTCAGACCTACTCAATATGCTCATAAAAATTCATGAGAATCGGTCAAGCCGTTTCGGAGCAGTAGGGGAACAAAAATTGTGACACGAGAATTTTATATACATGAGTTATCGTTTCAATTTAATGAATCGTCTTAGGTGTAAAAGTAAAAAAAAACTCACTATTTTAATTAAGCAAAACGAATATGTTCAAAAAAGACCAAGAGTCTGTACATGTTGTTTATTCTAATAAAAATGTGTATGACAAACTGTAGTTAATGACGTTGCATATTTATTTTTAATTTTCTTAACATATATTAAAGTATGGTTAACTGACCATTTTCATCAGGCAAAGTTGGTGATTGATTTTTAAGCAGTATAATGTAGTTTCAGGCTATCTTTTTTACGCACTAGTTTCTGATTTGCAGCGGCTCTCGGCGGCAAGATTATTCAAGCTTCTTTTTTTATGTCATAAGGTGGCAAACGAGGGAATGGGCACCTGAAATCGCTAAAATAGAGAAGTGACCGTTGCCCATAGACGTACGTATGTACATATGCTTTGCCTACATTTAATCGACGGAGGAGAGAATGCACAGAAAGAAAATATATTCCCTTTTCATGCATCCTCTCATCCGGAAAGTCCACTTCCACGTCCCATCCTTTCCATATGGGAAGAGAAAGAGGACTAAATTAGGCCTCCGAGATGCACACTCATCATACGAAACGCGGAATTGCTTCCACTTCACGCCTGTCTTCTAAATGGTCGTGGTGTCCACAGGGCGAGCCCGGTCCATTCGTGCGAAGTTGTTAAAGATGTTCTTTTTCTCTTTGTTGTAATATTCGATGTTTTCGTCCAAATAAACACGTTCTGGAAAATTTCAAGAATTCTTACAGATTGATTAGATAGTTTATGACCTGAATTTTTCAATGTGCGAAAATTTAGATAAACCTTATCTTATCTAACAATGTGCAATTTAATCAACAAATATATTGAAATACCTAAAATATTATAAGGTTACTATTTTTTTTATATCAAAAGGTGGCAAACGAGCAATCGGCCACCCGAAATCGTTGAAAAATCCTCATTCTCTCATCCGGAAATTCCACTTCCACTTATACTGAATAGTATATTTAGTAATACGCATAGATAAAACCAGTACTGGAATTTTTAAATTTTCAGTTATAATATAATATAATTTAATTATAGTACCTGTATGACCGAGTTTTGCTCGGTATTTTTTTTTAAATTGTGTTTTTTGGAAATTATATTTAAGTAGGAATTACTAATAAAATGATGAAATATGAATAATATTTTCCGATCTTACCGATAGAAAAAGTTAAGTTTATATTTAAATTGATTATCGATAAAACACGAATAAAATTACATTTTCTAAAAATGATTCCTATCTAGATCTATTTATCGCCCCCGAAACCACCTATATACTAAATTTTATGAAAATCGTTGGAGCCGATTCCGAGATTCCAAATATACACACACACGTATATGTATCTTGTATATATATATATATATATATATATACAAGAATTGCTCATTTAAAAATATAAAAGATACAATATCGAAATTTTCTCACCCCGAATTCAAACAGAGTCAACGAAGTCTAAATAATTATTTTATATCGTCGCTAATATTATATTAATTACCTTGTTATTAACTAAACATAATATCTTATCTTACGAAAGTTTGTAAACGTTAATACCAAGTTATACGATTCACTTTTTTTCAAAGCGCCTGTAGCTTTTTAATTAGCATTTCATTTACCTATTAAATTCAAGATCATGACAGACGCTAGCTTATTTTATTTATGATCTACTTTATATTAATAAGAAAGTTTATTATTTTTTATTTGGACAAACTACTTTCTTATCTTAC